AAATTAGAGCTCGCTGTAAGATCACTTCACCTCGTTCCATAGGTACCAAATATGTTCCTTCAAAATTGAGAATGAGAAAGCATCGATATTTTTGGGAGTAACTGGTTTTATTTCTTATAAGACTCTCAATCCAAAATCAAAGGAATTAGACGCGTGCACTATCGGGCTCGGCGTAACTTACCAAAGAGAAGAAGCGAATTTCCTTTCTATTTTTGTTATGTTTCTAAGAAGTGCTATTTTCAAAAATATCGTTACATTTTGTTTAAAGTTCTACTATTCGCTGTGTTTAGTTACATCTTTGTTACAATATATTTTTTCAGGTACAACAGCCAATCCAGTTTGTATAGCAATGATGCGAGGAGTTATGATAGAGGGTATATCCATTTTCTTATTATCAGTAATTTGCATTTAAGTCCTTGATAAATTTTACAGAAATCGCTCTTACAATAGTTCGAACGAATATCGCGGTAGCAATCAGTATCGTGGTCCAATGGCGGGAACATTTCCACGAGGAGGAGGAAAATATTTCAACAATTATGACGATTACAATAGTATGGGACGCTATACTCCGAGTAATCAACCATATCGGGGCAGCGGCCCTTACTATGTGAGTCCTTAGCTTTTTCTTTTTTCCTAATTCTCGAGTGTTTCTTTTGTGTACTCTGCCAACTTTCTCTAGAATCATCAGTACGGTGGTGGTGGTGGTGGAGGCTATCCGCTTCGATCACGAGGAATGCAAGGACGTGGTGGCTTCAGCGGTGGACGCGGGAACTACTACGGAAGTCAGGAGCTGCAACGAAGTGATAGTTATCATCATGATGAGAGAGACAAGCCAGCCCCTATCACGTTAGTTTGTAAAGTGGTTAAAGCTCTTCTTATTTTCTTCAAGATTTCAAAGATTGATGAAATGAGCGGTAGTCTGTTAGGTGATTCAGATCATGCAGCTATGCCAATTTTTTGGTTTATAACAATAATTCTTATTGATTGCTTGCATGTCCATATTCCTTGTGTTTTTTTTTTGTTGCTGCTGACTGCTAATCTCTTCGTTCAGACGTTCTCGTACGGAGTCCACAGCTTTCGAAGCCGAAAGGCGTAGAATGGAATTGTCGAGGACGTCATCGCGATTAAGTACGAGTACGGAGGAAGTTGACAACCCTACGCCAAGAGTACGTTTCTTTATATCCAGTCTTGAGATATCTTTATTATCATAAGTTCTTTTTGAAATCTCAATCTTCCAGGTAGTTCCCAAGAAACTCACCAATAAAGATATTTTTGGTGAAGCAAAACCTGTCGACACCTCGGAGCGACTTCGTGAAATAGAAGCGAAGCAAGAAAGAGAGCGAATGCTTGAACAACAAAAATACAAAGTGAGTTCCCCTACTTTTTGGTACACCTGGGTTTTTTTTAGGAGTTATTACTTTTTTTAAATAGAGTTAACATTGCAATTCCTTTTTTAAACTAATCTTAAAGCTTTTTCGCACTTTTTGATTTATATGATGCCATTTCCACCCTCTTATGTCGTATTAGCCTTCTCAGGAGGAGGCTGAAGCAGCACGTTTGGCTGCTGCAGCTGAGCGCACAGATGGTTTACCTCCACATCAAACTCCACACCAGTTTCCTATACACCATGGTCATATCGCACATCATGCCAATCATCATCAGTACCATCACGCTCCATCACGACAGGGCCTCCCTCCTCATGCACCGGTTTGTTTTTGGT